ATCTTGATTATTTTGATGTAATTTAGAAAATAATAACCATAATACACTATAGAATCGACATTTTAACAAATGATTTATAAATATTATATTTTTTATTTTTCAAGATGATCGTTGTTTTGTCATAAGATATAAACACAATAAACAATAAGACATAGCCGCACTAATAATGTCATCATTATAACGTAGTTATTATTTTTAATTGGAAATTATAATTATAAAAAAAAGAAAAGAAAGAGATTGGATACATTATTTGAGAGTCGAATGGTTAATAATATATAATAATATTATTAGTTCCAATATTTATGTACTACACATTTATCATTATATATGATTTATTTATGATTTTTCAAAGTTAATATTATTTTTAAGATTATGTAGTCATTAATTTTTGATTTTGAAATACATTTTTCTAATAATCCTCATTGTATTTTGTAAACTGTAGAAGACATGATTTGAAGACAACGAATTATTTCAAAAGTTATTACATGCATTATACGTTTATTATACTGAATTAAAGTATCACATAAATAAAAATAAATAATAATACAAATTAATTTTAATGAGCAAGGTTTTTGGGCAAAATTTAAGTAGATTCGTTTAGTAACCAAAAACGTCAACGCCTACAACTCTACCTAAGAAATAAATGTTAAGTAGTTTAATTGGTTGCAGACTAAATGACACTTAAATTAACTGTCTTATCTTTTTATACATTAAAGAACTCATTTTCAAGAAGAAAAACCCCTGCTTACATAATTAAATATAATAGGTGCTTTTTATTTTTTTTAATGAAGTTTATCTATAGTTTATAAAATTAATTTGGTAAGTATAAAAAGCTAATGACGTTGAATTACCCGATATTATTATATTATACTCTGTTGACAACAAATAATAACTTTCCGTTTTTGAACGCTACTCGACAACGGTAATAATATGAAATTTAAAAATAAATTATCTACCAATTTAATTGTTTTCGTCCCCCAGCGTCGATCGAATATAATGTTATGATAATAACACGTAGAAATTGACTACAGGTATAAACGCAAAATATATAATTATCTGGTCACAATTTTCCACTGAATTTCGAATACGAAAATTACTATAGAATCGTCCGGTACTCTATACTCTATACTATCACATTTTACCATAATGTCGTTCACTCTTATGAGCGTTTGTCGTGAGTGATAAGGCACAAGCATAATTAATAGCTACGCAACCTACACATGACCATAATATTTATCGTGACACGGCCGTATAGTTGTATTTAGGGGTGGGCCCGAGGGTATGACCACTCCCGTAGAATATTGCAGTCCGTCTAAATGACAAAATTCTTATAAATTAATAATATGACGTGTCGTAATTTTATAAAAAAAAAAAGTCGAATTGTTATCTGAGGTATCACTTGTATTTTGTTCGGGTTTAGCCGACTAACATAAATCTTGTATTAAAATAACAAGTAATTTCATTCAGAAAAGTGTTAAGATTATAAAACTTATTTTAAAAACTTTTTCTCAACTTCTAACACTTAACATTCATTATATATTATCCTCAACACCCGATATTATATTACTGCTACGGTGAACAGAGATTGATTTTTATCACTCTGTTATTCTCAAAATTGAAAGTGATGCATTTAATAATATAAACCGACTAGGCGTTTTAGAAATATATTAATATACCGAAAACGATTCATTTTTAAATTTACGGTAATACATATCATTGTCCACAAGAGGTGACTTGTGCAGTTGTCTCAGAACTAATGTTCGACATTTTAGTATTCATATTTTGGATGTATGATGTAACTCTATCGATTTATTGTAATACTGTCATCATAATATATGATTATCATTAGGGGTGCTAAGATAAATTGACAGAGTAGGGTCCCTGGACATAATATTTGGTAGCCCCGCAAGCCCTATATATTGCCACAGTTAGTAATTACTCAGATATAAACTCAATGCCCAGTGATGTGGCCAATACATCCATTACCCTCGATAATAAAATACTCTCCACTGGCTTTGATATTCGAGTATGATGCAAACTAAAACTAAAAACATGATGTACCTATCAATTTTGAATACCGGAAATAGTAATACTGTTTTTAAGGATTTGTGTTATTCGTTTGTCAATCTTATATTTATGTTTTGAAATGTATATTTTTAGGAATATTCGTAAACCGAGATAGGTACCCTTGGCCCCTGGGCCTCCACAGTCCACACACGAGTTCCTCTCGGCGAGGCCCGAGGTAATCTCTCGATAATCTCTAAATTAAACAAAATAAATAAATTACAATTCGCACGCGCACCGTGTACACACCGCGGAGACAGTGTGTGACGGATGCGTTCGACCAGAAACGCCCCGTCGAGCAGCTGCACGGAATTCTGATGCATTTTATAATAACACTAAGTGTATGCCTACCTATCGTAATATATATATTATGCATAATACATGCCCGCGGCAGTCAGGCCGATGGTATAATAACATAGGTATACGACGACGCCGAAACAGTGCGCGGTCGTCCGCGACGTCTACACGATATTATTATTACTACGAGTCGCTTTGCGTGCGCCAGCCATAGATTATTACTCGACAAACGGTCGCCCGCGAATAGTGAAAAATAATATTTTTTTACACAATATTATAGTGCACAATAATTATAAACGACAACGGACCACCCAATATACGGCGTATAAGTGTGACAATATACGGACAGCAGCTGTTGCAGGGTACCTATACCGTAGTATAATATATACATGCATGGGGCGGACATCCCTATATCGAATATACACGCTATACTTTGAGCAGGGCCCCCCCTAAAAGGGGGGCTGTTGGATCTGAAGTACAGGTATTTTAGAGGACCGTTATTGAAATGAATTTGTAATTTTCGAAATTTTGATAGGAATATAATACTTATTTTATATTAATTAATATTTTATGAATTTTATAATAAAAAGCTTGTAAAAATCTTGGAGCCTGGCTGAGAGCGAAGAGTCTACTAGTTACAGTAATTATTATTTGCGGTTATACGACAGAGAACATTTTTTATCATTCCGATATAGCTTCCAATTTTTGAATTAATTTCAATATGGTTTTTTTTTACTACTGTTATTGACTATTGTAATTAACCCACTGTTTTGTCAGCGGTTGTAAGTTTCATTGAAAAGTACCAAACTAAAATGGTATATACATGATTCTATTGTGGCTTAACATATCACGATTTGTTATGATACCACACACCTTAATTACATGCACAAACTTTGGTAACTAGTATGCTCTTCGATCACGCTTGAATACACGGTATATGGCCCATTTATGTATTTATTATTATCTATGGTACTTACAGACCGAGGGCGGTGGTCTGGTGACCGTTCGCCATCGTCCTATCGTCCCTCGGTGTCATTATACTTCGAAGTCAAATAAGTCGCAGACATATCGAACATATACGACCATGTACGTCGTATTTTTACGCGATTTTATGTACCTACGTCATCATTATTATTATTATTACTATTGCTTGTGCGCTAATAGCATTCTGACACCGTAATAATATACCTATCGTGTGTTATGAAAAGCTCGTATATGGTTTATGGTATACATATATATACTCTTAACGACGCGGCTCTCGGGGCTGAAAGTATGTTTGCGAGTAGGCGTATTAGGTACATGTATTACGCGTATATAGAGTGGACTCTGTCTGCCGGGTTAGTGCAAGTGTGTATACGCATTGTTAGAAATAATACATATATATATATATTAGATTTATGGTGAAAAGGTAGATGGATGTCCAGACGCACTTAAGGCCTCTTGCGCGGCGCTGACCGACTCACGATAAAAACCGTAAAAACTTTTCAGTGGCAGAACATGAAATGTGTGTGTGTGCACTCGCTCTCTCGCGAGAGTATTACGTCCTTTACGCCAATATAATATAGCAAGTCCTACACTTAAGTTTATGACGTCCCCGCCAGACGTCATATCCGGGCATACATACAAATACTCGTACGTATATATATTATATATGTTACAGTACATACATTATACATTTATATACATACGTCATACATAGTGCATACACACAGAAGCGTACGTAACCGTAAGCCTGTGTATGTATTTACGTAACCACATACCAATACATACACGTGTACGACATTGTGCGTTCGGTATACCGCACTAAGACCGTGATTTAATTAAATCCGATGATTTTCGGCGTTTTCACGTACGATAACCAACATCATACCCGATTCCGTCACGGCGACGTGCAAATACCTGTGCGGACTTAATCGAGAAAATATAAATCGTGGGGTGAGGGCTAATGCGAGTTTTCGCTCCAAAAGTTTTCCAAGCACCCCTAAGTACGAGATTAAATAATATATCTTTAACATTTTCTTCTATGGAAAAGTAGGTGCTTGGAATATTTTCTATTTACAAGTGCGGTGAATACGATATGTTTATATACTTACTATGAGAAAAAAATTCATAATTTATTCCTTGAGCTGCATGCGTGGAGGCCTCCACTTGCTATTATTTAAAAAAAAAAACACGCCTACAAAATACTATCGGAAAAACTCGGTCGGTCACGATATAGGACTATGCAACATAAACACGCGCTATTGTATTGTAGTAATGACGTCATATTCTCGAGATTTTCAAGAAAGAAATTTTAGTGTATCGAATATACGTATCTGTAAAATATTGAGTAAACTATCCAAAATGTTTGCATATTGTAATATTAATAAGATTTTAATTATAACAAATTGTGTATCATACTATACTGCGGCTATACGTTTATAGGCCAGTATACCTATCGGACTCGGAGTTTGAGACTAATCGGTACGTAACTACTGCGCGTGTATCGATATAAGCACATTTTATATGTATCGAAGTTTTCTCCTTGAAAATCATTTTCAATATCTGCTACATAAAATATTAGGTAGGTATTTTTTTAGTACATTTTTCATCGTATTTCGGCAATTTAAAATGCCGACCCCCTCCCCCATGAAAATTGCCTAACCTCCGAATGTGCAGTATATTATTATATTATGGGCAAAGTATTTTATCACGACATTATGGTGGCGGCCACTTACTAGTGTCACGGTGTGCCTGAACCGCATCATCTGCTCGGGCCGATGGTTTTGCTGTTTCATAATTCTGGACATGCGTTCGATGCGCTGTTGGCTGGTCATCTCGGCGGTCCGGTGCTGCGGCGGTTGTTGACGGGCGCCCCCGAGTTCGGAGGCGTATCGGCGCGTCTGCTGCTGGTGCTGTTGCTGGTGCTGCAGTTGCAGTTGCTGTTGCTGTTGCGCTTGTTGCAGCTGCTTCTGCTGCAGGTCGATGCGGGACCGGTGGTGGTAGGGCCCGGAGGCAGCGGCCTCCGCGGCTGCCGACGACACCGATTCTTCGGACGCGGCGCCGAGATGCTGTCGGCAGAACACGGTGGACAGTGGCACGGCCCGGGCCACCAGGTTTTCGGCCGAGCCCACGGACGAGTCGTCGTAGAACCGTTTCAGGTTCATCAGGTCACCGAAGCTGCCGGTCGAACCTTGGGCACACAACACAACACCCGTACCGTAGTTTTTCATACACACTCGCGGCAACGACCACGACGTTACTATATGGCACGTCGCGACGTTCCGCTGCATATCGAGGCCACAAAAGCTTTTGGGAAATTTTTTAACATTTTTTTTTTTATTCGGGACCTGTACGACCGCATGTGAAATTCCGCTCGACTCCTCGCCGTTACCGTGGTATAGTAGATACAATATACCGCGGGATTCCAGTGATTTTGCTGAGCGATTTTCCCCTGATTTGTTTCGTTTTCATCCCGTTCAGAGGAAAGACGATTTTTCGGGACGTGCATCCTATGCGTAACCACCAACCTAACATAACCTGGTAACGCGACCAAAGTGAATCGATTAAGAAAACAATTCGCCAATTTAGATTTGTCTATCTACCATTATAAGTGTTTAAAAACTTCTTTTTTTTTTTTTGATTTGTGTTCAGTATTCTTAAAAACGAATTCCATATATTTATTATTGAACAGCTGCCGCGCCGACAGATTTTTACACGTAGTTCTCTTTCACGAGTGCAAGTAAAAATACATGTGCAAGTACGTCGTATTCGCTTACTTCACTCGGCGTCGTGGTTTTAACTCGAAACGAGGCGTGGCGACCGCTTCTGGGTATTTTTATGCAGAAAACGTAATCAATAACAGGAACACTCGAAGACAGACGGTAGATAATATCTTCTCTCACACGGCATCCAAAAGAAATTCTTATTTAAATTTTCTTATCGCACCTATACGCCTGTGGGGAAATTTTGAGGATGATTCGATTTCACGAAATCGGTGTAATAGTTGTAAAGCATATGTTTGGTCTTTGGTGACTAACTATGATTTGAGAACTTTTGAAAAACTATATGGAGCACTGGAAATAGTAAATAGTAATATATTATATTTTATGAATATAATCAAATTCATTGTAATAGAATTAATGTATCATCGTATTCCTAAACTAATCAAATTGATTGGAAATAATGTACTTATATTTGATTTCGATGTGGAAAATGTGGCAAAATATGATTTAATGAAAGCGTTTTTTACTTTTTTCTTGTTAACCATCCACTCTGTGTACAATTATTCGAAATTTCTATAAATATTTAACGTTTTTGTAACTGTTTGATTTGATGGATGATAAACTATATTTATATGGACGGTTAACATTTCTTGAACGGATAAATTTATTTAAAACGAGCCAGTTTAATGACGTAATAATGCATTTTTTTTATCTTTTACTGCAGGCTCATCGGTTTTTAAAGGAAATGTATCCGCGCATCATAATACAAATAGTAATTTATGAATTTGTTTGAAAAGCCGACGACGTTATTGAAAGTGAATATAAATTACTTCTATATACTTGTAGTGTATACGTCTAAAAGTTATTAAGGAGGACGACGAACAAAGTTTGAGTGCGAGCCAAGTTCTAACCGACGGGACCTATGAATTCCTCAAGTATATGTACTTTCAGGATCCAGACATATCCGTTAAACATAATAATATATATATATATATATTATGTAATATTAATATATTATTATACCCTGCACTAGCTCGTTTCCGAGAAATCCGTCACTCGAACGCCCTCCGGCTTTAATGCCGGATAACCGAGCTAGTGGGGGGAGGGGAAACAACCCCCTTGTAACACCCTATAGGTACACGGAGGAATCGACCGGAACAACGCAGCAGCCGCGGTGTGGGTTTGGGTCAGAATATTATGGTAAAACTATGCGATGGCGCGTACCTGCCAGCGAGTCGGATCTTTTCAGGTCCGTCAGACTCGAGCCCCGCCTCATCCTGTTCCTGGGCAGCGAGACAGGTGGTCTATCCGCCGCCGCGGAGGACGCGACCGCCGCCGCCGCTGCGGCGTTTGCCGCCATCGACCTTTCCGAGTTGCCGGTCTTGGCCAACGACGACGAGTCCGACTTGGATATGGTGCGCCGGGTGCCGACGATCATCGGGAACACGGCCGTCAGCTTGATCCGCCTGTTGGACAAGAATCCTCCGCCGCCGCCCGCCGGCGGGTCCATGGCCGGATCGTCGTCAAAACCGCACGGAGATCGTCGATCGTATTTATAGGTAGGTGTTCACTGCGAAAGCTGCGCTCGCGGGGCCGCGCACACACACACGTCACACTTCAATCGCGAAACGATATCGTATGTCGTCGCAGTCACCGGTCGCGGTCGTAATCGTAGTGGTGGTAGTGGTCGATGGTCGTCCGGTAGTCACAGTAGTGCCACTATAGTGTACTTGAGTTCGGAGTGTGTGCGTGTGTATATTATATTATTATTATGTGTGTTGGCGGACACGGGAGAAAAAAAAAAACCGAAAAATATACACACGAAAATACCGGACGGTGGGAGGTCGTTATCACACGCTGTGCCGGCGGACATGGCCTTTCAATTATCTCGTGTATACCGCATGCTGCGGATGATAACGCCCCCAAGGTCTACGCTTTTAGCGAGATTCTATTTAAATCAATTAAAAAAAAAACCCTAATTTGTCGACACCGTTCGGCGCGTTCTGTATTAAGCATATATCTGTGTGTTTTCGCCTACTTGCGCACACAACGCATGATAATAACAATATTATTTTAATAATATAATATCAGGTATATATGCGCGACGAGTCTACTCGTCTCGATTTCGGATCGGATTGCTGTAGGATATGGCGTCGTGGTTGTATGTCACATTATTATATTATTATCCACCCTGGGGTACGTCACGGTGTGCGGAGTCGTCCGCTTTCCGAGTAGTGATTATACTCTGCAGCGTTTTTTAGGTTAGATTTAAGGCTCCGAATTCTGCAGTGTAGAGCAGGAAACCTCCAAAAAAAACCCACTTCTAACTGTAGCAAACGTGCGTACCCATTCAGATGAGATACAGCCGATGACAACCATACTAACACAATAATATTATCGATGGGTAGGTATAACGGCGAATTGGAGGGATGCAGAAATAAACCTTTGTGACGTCAACACAGATGTCAAGCGACGATAAGATGACCAAGCGATCAGACGTCATAATTCGATAAAAGATTGTAAAAAATAAAATCAGATATAAGTACCTACCTAATACCTGTATTATAATGTAGGTACTCATATTACGGTTAACGATACTTTTAAAAATCAATATTATAATTATTTAATATTTTCTATTATTGATGATAATTATACCAATCAATCTTGGTTTATATCTGAGGAAAAAATGATCACCGACTAAATTGTTATAGAAGTATATTACATATTATATTAAAAACATAATTGTATAAGATTTTTCATTTAGTTAAAAAAACTGTTCATAAATTGTATAAAATCAAAAAACCAATAAAATTGTTTTAATTTGACGTATTTCAAACTAGCGCTGATCTTAGATCGACAATTAATTATACATCGATAATATGTTACTTTTAGATAAAATAATTTTAAAAGATAAATTATGTTTATAAAAAAAAGTAATATTTTGTTATATTGTATTAATTACAGTAAAATGTGTCAAAACATGTAATACTTTTTAAATGAAAAAATGTTTACTGTTGATGTGTTTACATAAAAAATGAAATATATTATGCAATTCTAAAAGAAGACGATGAAAACAAAATATTTTAACATACGCAATATTCTAATAGTATAATATTATGTTATTAAATAATACCAAAATTCTAGACTAGGGATGAGATGTCGAAACTTACCAAATTGAACTATTAATAGGAATTTGGAATATTATGAGTTACGTTATTTCATCAAATCCTTGATTGATTTAATTATTCACTACTACTACACTATTATGTCAAACCATCAAGTGAAAAACCGTCAAATAATAATTAATAGTCGCGGATAAACCAAAAACTACATCCGACGAAAATGTAATACCGACAGATGTTTAAAACTACACGATTTCTCTACGAATAGAAAACACTCATTAAAGCAATCACAATATGCCGACTAAACACAATAACCAAGTGACACTAGGTATTATAATTAATAACACGTTTTCGGACATTCGTGTTCAACAATGGGCCCATGTAATTTCGGGCCACGGACCGTTCGTGGACAAAACAATCATTGGACCGGCCAAATGTTTTGTTTTCATTTATAGATCTGGTATTAAATGTTACATAATATTCGGAAAATAATAATAATAATATTATGCTTATTAGTTATTAAACATTTTCGTTTTTAAAATGATGGTCGACGAGTAAAAAACTACCTACCTGCTCGCATCCAAAATGAGCTCACTGTACCTTATGTCCTAATGTGTGATTGAAATTTTCCTATGCTTACTTCAAAACCACTCTCCGAGGTACATATTATTTCTGAGAAACCGTGTGTGTGTAATGAGAAACGAGTATATTTTGCAGAAGGAACCCATTTCCGGAAAACATACCTCACCTAAATCTTTTTTTTATTATTAATATGATCTACTCTATCTAACATAAAAGTTTAAAAAATATTCCTATTACCTTGTGGCTTGTACCTAGTCATAAATATTTTTATTGCATCTTTTTTCAAATTTTTCATGCCTGTTTATGTTCACTCTTCATATAACTTTGAGATTATTGTGCACTTTTTTCATACACATACGACCGGATGGTATATTTCATGATATAAATAAAAAAGTTTTATATTATAATACACACGACATACGTACCCAACTAAATAAGCGGATAAGGAAATATAGAATATTTGACTTCCAGGCATAATAATTAAATACCATATTTTAAAAACCTACACAGAGTAACATAATATATTGTAAATAACTATAACTTCTAATACAATATAAAATCTTGTCTTCCATACTAACAACGAGGTATTTGTCAATCCAATTTAATTAACAACAATTTTCCGAGCCATCCATCACAAGTTATTATTTTTTTTATCACTTCGAAAACCAATATTGAACTTAAAAGTAATTACAGCGAGGTCAAATCGTATTCTGTGAACCATAAGATATTTTTTTCTCCGACCAATTTATCAAAGAACCGCAAAACTTTCAACTAGTATAAATGAAAATTGTCATGTGCGTTATTATTACTGTTATTAGATTAAAACTAAATAAAAACAATTGATAATGTTCTAAAGTAATAATATGATTTAGATTTCACAACATTCTTTATAGTCCATTTTAGTAAAATGTTATTTTACATTCAACGAGTATCGTGACATATCATATTTATTCGTAATATCGATACCTATATTAATATAATATTATAATACTCCTAACCACCCTAATTTATAGTATCGATAGTGATTATATGGTAAGAGTGTTCGTATTAGGAAACATAAATTATAAATGTGCACAGCCCTACATATTATTTTTCTATTGACATAATATTATAATTATTGTCTCGAAAAACGACAAAAAAAAACCTATGTACTTTTACGATGTTCTATAAACCAATATGTTACTCGCTAATCGCGGCCAATGACCAATGCAGTAGTGGCCTTGTATATTATATTTTATAGTGAAAAAAAATTAAAATAATAATACTGTTGACACTTCCTAAACGAGGCCTATTATGCAGGTATAAATTATATACCTAATATTATATACCATTATATACCTACGTAAATATTAATATTACATGTTCTCGAGTAGGTACCTATCCACATAATAGTCATCGAGTGTTGTAGACACTATACACCTATACATTGGCATCTATATATAATATAATACGGTATAGGTACTCGATTGGCTCGTGAATTTATGGCCCAGTACTGTACAACTTCAGCTACACGTCAGGCGCATAACAATATAATAATAATAATATTATGTACCTATGTGTTTAACGTTTTGTAGTGTGAGCGTATTTAAATACAAGGATGGTCAGAGTCGACGTTGTAAACGGTTAAGGTCAACCACGCGCGTCTAGCCCGCATTTCCATTACACATTTCCGCGCGCACACACCGGTACCCTGTACAATAATTGCCATTCGTTCCATATTATAATCACATAGGTATACAAGTATTATTATTATTATTATTATTATATCGCATACGACACTCTGTGGCCCCCTCGTATTTCGCTTTTTTTTTTGTCTCGTTTGTTTGTTTGTTTGTTGTTTTATTTTTTTTTATCATTTCAAACGACCCAATTCGGTAGACGGTAAACGCGTGATATTTAAATGATATTATTATATACACTGGGGCCCAGTTGTCATTGCACACACACATGGAAAATATATTTTACGATAATATTATAATTTATAATATTATGACATATTGTTGTCGTACTCGCTCTTCGCCGCGGCGTGTTGTACGCCGTGCGTCGACGTAATATTCGGCGCCACCGCCGGAGAGTGATATTATTATTATTGTTTTACCGCCGCCGCCGCCGCATACATTATTTTAATTCCAAAATATTTCTAAGACGTCGTAGCTCGGCATAGTACCGCTCCGCTCTCTCTCTCTCTCACTATACATATATATATATAAAGCGACAGGCGCATATAATATTATTATTTAATAATATACACACGCACCGCACATAATAAATATAGCGACGCGTGTGCTAGAAAACGTTCAATTTTCCCTTTCCAAATGGGTCAAGTGCTCGAAATGATTTCCGGATGGTTAAACGTATAAACCCGCGCGCCGCCCACCGCACCGCCCCGCCGTCGCCGGCGAACCAAACGAAATTTCAACGGAATTGATCTCCGCAAACATAAATCTAGAAAATGTAATCATAGTCCGTCTGCGCGAGGTTCGCAAAGAGCACATTATTATTATTATTATCATTCACGTTTGACCAGAACGTCGTGCACTTGGAAAATATTCCGCCACCGCACGTTGGTTTGGCACGATGAAACATTCTGCGTTATTGCCAAAAAGTAATAAGTGTAATATTATTAATTGAATTGTATTGTATTCGTTATCGCTGCGATGATACCGCGTTTTGGGTTTGATCAACAACTACTGGTCACACTATTATTATGTTAGTGGTGCTGACTTTGCAGATTACCCCATCGTTATTAAATTATTGTTATCATCAATATTACTAATAATAATATATAGCCGATTGCTTCATTAACCCAATTCCGTTCGTTTACGTTTGAACTAACTTCTATGTCCTATATAACGATTCGTCTAAACGACCTGCTCTCTAACGCATAATATATATATTATTTTAAATAATCGATCAACATTGTAAACAACTGGATCCCTGTACATTAAGATTTTCGGTGGATATGTTGTAGTAAAGTTTTTCCTATATGTAGGCCAATCCCAGTTGTTTGTACGAATAATTGTTTCAATATCTTGAAAGATGTAGTCGGTATTATGTTTATATAGGTACTAATTATATTATATCATATCATTGTATTGACAGTAATTATAGTAAGTAGGTAGGTATAGTATTGACAGTTTTCGATTTTCAATCATCCAATTTCGTCCTCAAAAATAATTCTGTATTAACGACCAATACGACAAGCGTGCAGTGATAATAATCAACTCCGAGGAAGTCAGAGATTTAAAGGTTATTATATAGATTCGTGTATTACTTATTTTCGACAAATTCTAAGATATCGATCCAGATTACTTAAATTATACTCAAACAAAGTAGACGGATTTATATAATATATAATATATCATATATTCATATATCATACAATATAATGGACATTATGAGTGTACACTTAATATATATATATATATATATATATATGGTATACACTCATTAACAATCCCAAATTAGTACGCAATCCTTTAAATCGCATGCAATCAAGCTAAAGTTAAATTTTTTTTTCACTCTTATTGCATTTACCCGTTGCTCTCTACCGCCCCCGAAGTCCTGTCGTTATAAATGATTGAGTACACATACATTTTGATTGATGTCGAAAGAAGTTTTCAGCTGTACAGTTTTTTTTCCATCATTATTATGCAAATAAAAAACTTTACTATAGTTTCCCAGAATTCATTGATTATTCAGTCAATTATAATTTCAGTTATCGAATCAATACAGGATATATTAAATATTAAATATATATATTATTATAAATTAATATACAGAAATATCCGACGCATAACCACGAATCAAAATATGATTTCTAACAATATTTTATTACAAAATATGTAAAATATTCAAATTTGTTTATCGGCTCGTGTCCATTATCGGAGTTTCCAACTATTCTTTTTCAAGATATTATCTACGTGTATACAATGGAATATTCTGTGTACTACCTACCTATCTCATAGCTAGACGAATTATATTTTATAACAGGAAAAGTATATTCATTTTTGTTTCGGAATTAAATCTAATACATTGAATAAACAGCACTTTTCTAGTAATCTAACTTGCCTATATTATTTATTTACTTCTACATCGACGACGACAAAAATATAATACCGATTATGATTTGTTATGGGATACAAATATACAATACAAAGTACCTATATATATGAGACACAAATGTTTTAAATTTGTAAATTAATAATGAATAGAAAAATATTCATACATTTTGGTAAAACATTATAATATTTTTCTTCGCGCACTTAGAGAGTTATGCATATAAATAATACTACCTACGTACTGAAACAAAGAATTGTTGTTTATAAATTTACCAATACGAATATATCAAAGTTAAAAAGCTCCGTTTTTGTTATAGTTTTCTATTCTCAGATTTGCACACAGCATTTTTATAACAATACGTTCATTTCTTCCAACGAGAGATGTACACAACAAAGGTAGATCCATTAAGAATTATTTCTGTAAGTAAACCATTAAAAAATTTAATATTTTAAAAGATATTCAAGAAAATAGAAAATACCGGAAACTTGATAAGTGAATGTTATATTTAAATTCATAAATCACCAAAAGTTAAAAAATTCGATCAGGTGAAAGTCTTAAAAAGGATGGACATTATTTATGTATATTTCTTTGCCCAAAGCATAAATCTACGAAACCTATTCAGCTATATTTTTGCATTTACATAAAAATGTATGACATAGTGAAAAACCTAAATATACAATAAATAATTCACGAACTTGAGCTAATAATGTTATATACTTACCATTTTTTTTTTTTTCATAAATCCGTTGCTTTTATAGGTGAAACATTATAATATGTCATAATAGTACCTAACTATTTTCTTAACCAGAGAAAATTAATATTGTAAATCCAATACAACAGAGTACGTAGTATAGTAAAAACGAATGCCGGAAAAACACGAGATAATACCTAGGTACGTAATACCCTTATAAGTTCTCAACCTGCAGTGATTACATCGGGTTTTACAACTAGTTGTATAACTTATTTTTAATCCATGTTTTCAAGTAGTATTAAGAACTTATTATACGGCTATAAAGGTACCTATATACAATCGTCCACAATGTTATTTCAAAATACAAACTTAATACTCCAAACAGTGTCTAATAGTTTATCAGAAATTTGAAATGTTAATTTTTAGAACGATTAGTCAAAAAAAAAAACATCTATAAAATATTTTTATGGGTTAAAAGTGTAGGTAGTAGATAAATATGACTACTTATTTTTTTTTTTTCAGATTTTGAAGTGATAATTCATGTTTCCGTGTGATCGACGATTTCAAAGCGGTTTTCATACTTCAAATGTATAGTTAATTTATAAAATACAAAAATACGAATTACCCATACAATTATATAGTATTTGCTTGGATATTATGTTAAAATATAATATATTCAACTTATTATACGGAAAATTAACCACAGCGCCCGACGTTACTTTGCGTGTTCTATAATCGGGAATGTTTTCCTACAGTGTATTATGGTTTAAATGGAGAGGCACGAGGATTGATGGAGTGCAAAAAAACGTTCCGCTTTGACATACCATTTTTTTTATATACCATAAATTTACCCATCAATTTTAAAATCTGAATAATTCTTTAGCATACACATTATACACGGTAGTAAATAAATAATAAAATATCACATTTTTTCCCCTCGTTTTTAATGATTTTATTCATAATAATGGAATATCATTTTATACCATAACAACCAGATTACCGAAAGTGTCAATAGCACCGTAAAATAAATGGAAAACCATAATACGTCTTTTTTTCATTATAATAATGGTACGATGGTAGTTAAATACTAATAATAAAAAAAAAAACTAAACAAACAAAGTTAGGCAGGTACTAGATTAATGACTGCGGATCAACTAATCTGGTATTAACTTGGTCAATAGTCATACAAATTAATATCGTAACACTGAGCTACCAAGCTGTTTAACGTGGTTATTCGCGGTAAACTATAAGTTATAGGTACTATAATACTTATGACGCTGTATCGATAATTACTTGTTGGAATATGTAAATTTGAATTTGCTGTAGTTTAATATTCTACACGAGTAATACCGAAAATGCCGACGGATAACCGCGAAAACATAACAAAAGCAAAATCTCGATGATTTATGAACAGTTTCGAATTTCCAATACACTTAATTTCCTTCGATGTATGCGTGACACACATATTTATAGGTAGGTACGTGCGCTGCACTAACCAACGGACAGGATAAAAAGCATACATTAAGACAAAATAACACATCATGATGGTAATGGACGTTATGTTGAGAAGTGTACAGACGATTGTGATGTGTTCAGTATTTCAGTTAAATGATTTTCTGATGATATAAAATATTATTATTATTATTTAGATTATGAAATATGTCATGATATTATTATCCTTAAACATCGATGTTTATTGTTTAGAACGTCTCAAATAACAAAAGGGTTTCCAAAAATGTCTTTTCTATAAAACATTAACGTCATGATTTGAATTTCTATATCAACATATTGCTCCATTGTAAAAAAAAAAATCGAAAGTACTTTTAACGATCTACCTATATTCGTTTATTTTTAATACTTTTTTTTTTTGTTTTACGAAGAAGTCCGAGGGTTCGTGGGGAATTTATTCATTTCATTTCAACAGCTATGTTGACTGTTGGTAGAACCAAATATATTTTTCAATAGTATCAGACAAAAACAAATATTAGGTAAGTTTATATTTATTTCGTGTATTAAATAAACAAATAAAATTCATTTTGTTTTATATTTATATCTTCATGGCTGCAGCTTAGGGTTGTATAAAAATTGTATCCACCCCTTCGCCCCTACATTAGTTTTTTTATCGCAGAATTGTATGTCCGTATATGACAAGAATATTAAAAGTTCACGCATAAATAGAGGGACAAACAATTTCAAAGATATTAATTGTTGTGTTTAAATTATATTTTTGATTCGATTAAAATTATTTATTTTTTTGGATTATATTAATTACTAGATATAATTCATCATTTCTATAGTTTCGACCAGTACTTTAAAATTTAAATACCTTCAAAATTATACAATAACCAAAATTCATACCAATATTTATTTTTATTTTATACTACTAAAATAAAGATATTGAACGTAGTCTATAATAATATAGAAATGCAGATATATATAATATAAGCATTAAATATGTCATGTTACTGAACTTAAACTTAGATTACTTTCGAGTGTAAAATATTATGCTTAATATAGGTATGTATTATACTATTATTTAATTGTCAAAGTATTGTAATACCATTCGTTTTAACTTTTAATTATTCAATACTGCACCTGTAATAGTAACTACTTGTCAAAATAAAAACACTATCAATTTGTGTATTTTTATTTTTAGATTAAGTCTTAAGTATAAACGTCAGATTATCAGCTTATTCCGTCACTTAATTATTTCCAAATAAAATGAAAAATAGACTAATCAGTCAGTAGGCTATTTAATATTGCTACTATCGATGACTAACACAAAAAAAATAAAAGGTACTCACATTAAGCTGATGGACAATCTTGTTATACGCCTTGTGCCATCGCATTCTTGCCAAGTTACTTTTTTCTTCTGGAGCCGTTTGTTCTGGAAGTCTAGGTTCTTCAACTGACAACTCTTTTTCTTCTTCCAGATCCAGTTGATCATCATCATCGTGTTCTTCAATACTATCTTGTTGTTGTTGCTGTAGCTGCTGTTGTTGTATCTGTTGTTGTTGTTGTAACTGTTGCAGTTGAATTTGTTGTTGTTGTTGTTGTTGTGATATAGAGGGTGGGAAGTGCTTTACGGGACTTGAGAACAAATCAACAGAACCAGTGGAAGTGGGAACTTCTGGTAATACCCTGGGTGATTCCGGTTCGTCGTTGTGGTCCTCCACTGGTAGTAATTCATCTTGATAACTTTCAGTGGATTCCTGCTGCCTTAATGTATAGCCTACAGAAGACGACGTGTCCTCTTTAGGTTTATACTGTTCATAACTGTTGGGTTTCGATGAAGACACTTCTTGTATCCAACGTCGGTTAGACGTACTTACTGACGACACGGCAGTTTCAAAAGATTCCTAAGGTAAGAAAAATTAGTATTAGTTTATTTAAAATTAATATGACATTATCATTCATGTCATTCTCAAATGTATCTTTGAATTAGGATCCTTAAGTATAATAATGAAAATATTTTAAATAATTTTAAAACTAAAACTTAAAAATTAGAATACATTTTGACATACTAACACAATATTTGAAGCAAATTATGAACGTATAAACTTTTAGTTATTACTTATAAGTTATAACCTAAGATAATATAATCAATTTAGGTATTTACAGAAAATATGTCGAATTAACTTAAAAAACTAATAAAACTTCATATTCATAGTAGTACACTAATACCAAATTTTATGCCTAAGCTTTCAGGTTAATATAAAAATGTTAGTTGAAATAACAAATGAATTAAAAATGTTTTTGCCCAACTAGGTACCTGTCCAAGAGATTTTCTTTGTTTTGTAAAAGCTATAAATGATATAATGTATACATAATATTTCTGATAGATATTCGTTTAAAATCAAATTGTATACTTAAATTATCTATAATATTATAACAATTTGTTATATTTATTTTTGTTATAAGAACTTTAATTTTAAGCTATTAAATATATTATTAATAATTAATAATAACACGAGTACTTTAACACAAGAAGCATGGTGGACTAATAATTATATTTTATATTCATCAAGAAATTATGTAAGCCAACTTATTTATACCAGGCATCGTATTTAATGAATTCAAAACAATAGGAAACAACTAAATTGAAAGCAAGTAATCTTAAATGTTTATTAATTCATGTTTTATCCTATTTAATTATTCATTTTTACAATTGCTAATTATCTGTGTAATTTTAAATTGCTGAATTTCAATTGGTTTGATGGAGAGCTTTCCTTCCGAACCAGAGCAATAAGAGAACATATGTTTATTTCTAGATTTTTTGATTTGAAAGACCATATCATTAGATCGTTCGGATAAATATTATTTATATTTTATTAAATTGTAGTTTGTAAATAAAACAAAACATTTCAGATGACCATCACAATATGAAATATATATTATTGTGAATCAAAGTCAATACTGTAAAGATTTTCTTTAACGATGTTAATTTATTTCTGTATTAATAAAATCAAAAAAAAATCAACTGTGGTGACATTTGGTACCCGATTTGGCTATTTAAACGCTTGACGTCAATTTTAACAGATTTAATCAGTTATAAGAAATTCTAAAAACAATTAATTGGAAGTAGAATAATAATAATAAAAGGTAGGGTACCAAAACATAAAATATTATGGAGAGTAGCAATTTAACTTATTTACACCGCTACAAAATAGTAAGTATGTTTAATGAACTGGTTATCATTCTGTTCATAAATATTAAGAATAAACCTACTCTGACTATGCGTATTATATTTTACAGGAACATTAAATCCAAATTTTACTGTAGTATACGTAATAAGAACAACAAATTACATTAAAACTTGAACGGAAATGATGGATATATCTTATCTATACTTGAAATTGAGTACATACACTTATATATAATATATATTTAAACATTAAAAAAAAATGTAACTTTATATTTGATTTCATGTATCTTAATTAATACAAGTTTTCGTCTTACAGTGTTGTTAAGTTGTTAAAACGTACCTATAAAATCAACTAACTAAATAAACGATTATAGTAGGTAACTCATAAATCATAATCTTTAGTGTACCTACACCTTCGTGTATCATACAAAACTTCTTTACTATAACCACTATAATCAGAATAAAAATTATTGTTAACATTATAAAGAATTTGATTTTTAGGAAATCTGACATTTAGAAATATTCTTATTTTATCTTTCAATCAATCAAAGAAAATCATTTTTTAATGAAAATATAATATAGTTTCCTTATTATCTATAAATAATTTTAAAACCACCTAAAAATATCAACGTATTTTAAATACGGCTGCTTGTAATAGACTTTAAATTAATATTATCAAGAAAATTCGAAATGATTTTTGGAAAAAAATGTAAATGAACACCTCCTAATAGTATAATATTTAACTACAAAAAAAATCAATCTTCAAGTTTTTTAAATGTCAAGTATTAAAGTATCTTCTGAATAATGGTCCCACTTTCTCTATATTAAAAATAATATTTAAATACCAAGTACTGGTAGTTTTTTAAAAATATTTCATAAAATTTATACTATTTTTTAGATATTTCTTAACATAGATTGTAAGCATAGATAGTATGCATTTTATCGTAATATTACAATAAAATTTTTGATTTATAGTTTAACAAAATATATCAGAAAATATTGTGAAAGAAAATTCTAGTGGATAAATCAAGTATTGAGTAGGTCATCAAGTTACAAAATATTTAAAACCACTGAAAAATGGTATGGAAAAGAAAATATCTATTAAAACAAATGTGAAAACCCTAAACAGTCTATGCAATGTATAATATATTTGTTTTGCATCAATTTAAATGTTTATTGAATATTTTACGTTCTAGAAACTCAAATTTATATGAATATAAATAAGTACCTAAGTAATTAAAACTTTGAATAAACTTTCAGTCTTTACTTAATTTAAAAGTTATATACATGGAACAAATATTTTTTCATAGTAATTGTTTTTGATGTCTTATAACATATATTATCATCATTTATATCATTATAGTTTATTTGTTTTGCTTATAAAAACTCAAATAACTTAAATTGATCTGATCAGATAACATTATCAAATATACATCTAGCCTGTTTTTGTAATATGCACATGATACAGCCACAGATTTTATTGAATAATAATGTTTTATATAATCTGTGATACAGCTAGCACTTTAAAGATTGAAAATAAATATAATCCTTTAAAATACCATACATTAAAATGTTTAAACCGCCTAAATACATTTTTCGGATTATACTTAATCATTTATTAATTTTTTGAGCAAAAAATACAAGCTTGTTTATCAAATAATAACTTTAGAAATATTAGATTTTATAAAAAGTTACTGGAAAAATCAAAGTGTAAACCTATACCAACTATATTATAATAGTTTTATCATATTATTTTCTATCAAATATAATATCAAAATTGAGGGATAGCAGATTATATTTTACAAATGCATTACCGACAATTTATAGTTATCTACCTAGCTACCTAGTAACTTAAATAAACTGAAAAATAATTTTTTCGTATTCTATCATGTTTAAATTGTACTGTCTAAAAATATGCCTTTCAAAAATACCATATTTTCTTCTCGTATTTAATGAGTCAATTTACATATATATTTTTAGAGTCATGTTATCATTTCTAGTTATTTATAGATTATGAACAAATTACCATGAACGAATCTAACACTGTATAACGTGTGTTAAAATACGTTAATACCTTTCAAGACTTATTATACTTAATAATTAAATAAGACGCGTCGATCACCTCTTTATGTTCTTCTTGTGATTCTGCTGAATCGTTGTGTTGTTGAAAAAAACTTCGGGGATTCTCTAAATGCTTCACAGTTCTTTGATAAAACTTCATGAACGTATCCCTGCGGTTAAATCCCTCGGATTCTTCTTTTTTATCATCCATGCTATCTCTTTGGCTTTCGTATTCGTTATTCGCGTTAGTCGAACTTATCGTATTATTTTGTGCGTACTGTTTTTCTTGTTGTAAACTAACGTTGTCGTTATAATAGCCGTCATCGTACTCTTCGAATTGCCCCTTAACATTCGTCTCGGTATATGTATAGTCTTCACCGTCTTTATGGTCCAACGAACTGGACCTCTGGTCAGTGCTGGCTCTTCGCTGAATTTTTTGATACGTTTGTGGCAACGAAGGCGATTGCTTGATCCGCGAATGAGGTATTTGAGGTAACATCTTTTTGGTACTCGATACCTGTTCGTTATAATAAGAATTTGAGTAGTATTCCATATAAGGCGTCTTTTTAGCGGGTATTTCGGGAAGTTGTTTATGCCTTTGAGCTGGTACCGCTGGTGGTGACACTTCGTATGGAGTTTCGTTGTAATGACGATCTTCATAACTTTGGTTTGGTGAAAAATATACCTAAAAAACAAATTGTACATAATTATAAATCATAATTGGTTGAAAAGTGAAACGTCTATTGTATTCTGACTAATTATCTTAAAACATAGAAATATCATAAAACTAATAATTTGTATTCGGTTGTTTTTTTTTATTGAGAGTTAACAGTATAAATTATAATTTTCATAAACATTAAAACTAAAATTAGGTTAATTTTTATAATTTAAACTATATATTATGTTTTCACACTTCAAAGGTCAAAGGAAATAAGTGCAATAGACTATTTCAAAAGTTAATTAAATATTTTATTTCTTAAAAATCAATTATTTTATTTTATTTTTTTACAATACGGGACGAACCCTTTAATACATGAATATAATAGTATAATAATAATAGTTATATAGTTTACTTTATGGAAACGAGGCTCAATTTAGAGTGAGAATGAAGGGTCAGTGTTGGCAATGCGCATAAGACGAATTATGAACAATACCAATCAACAAATTTGTATAAAACCTACTATTTCATTATTTTTTCTTTAATACTTCATTATTAGTTGCTTAAATATTTAAAATATTATTAAAATATAACTAAATTGCCTATATCTCCATTAAAAAGTTTCACAAAAGATTGACAGTGGTTCTTCTGTATTTTTTAATTTCAATTAAATAAATACCTAATCACAATTGAAATACAATATAAATCCAAATTGTATAGATAAGAAACAATGATTAAACTATATATAGTAAAATATATCACTATGTTAAATTAATAAAAACTTTCAATTTAATTTTTCAAAGGTTAAATATTAAAAAGTGGGTCACTGTAATGGTCGGTGTTAAATTGGAATTTAATGATATAATATCATTGTAGAAGAAAAACGATTCTGAGTGAAAACGGTCAGTCAGCCTACGATATTACAAAGTATATTTGATGATATTATTGTGGATAAAGTAATTTATACATAAACTATTTACGTGGAAAATTGTTTTAAATGTTCAATCCTCAGCTATAAAAGTTGAACATTTTATAAATTTTTAACTACAAAATAATTATTACATTTTAAATTTGATAAATTTTGTCAAAATTCGAACTTTAAATACTTATAAAAAAAATTTGTGAGTATGTATTTTTAATATTTTTCCACTGCTATTGTAACAATATATCAGGAGTATTGCATTAAATTTTCACGATTTGTTAAGCAACATATAACATTTTATTGATATTTATGGAAAAAAAAGTAAAAAAATTTAAAACTGACAATGTCCGTAAACATCTTAAAAAGAGTCAAATTATTTTCAAAATTTTATGGTTTATAGAAAAATGCTAATATAAATATTCAGTGAAATTTTCAAGTATCTACAGTCATTCGTTTTTGAATAACAATAAAATAACAAAATCGCTTTATGAGAAATCGAGTGAATATCCAATATCATAAAAATATGAAAATCAAACGCTCATAAAAATTTAATTTGATTTTCTTATAGACATTATGTTTTTGATAAAGGTAGATAATCTTATAATGAATCTTGTATTACAGTTTAAAATCTTAGATTTAAAAACGAAATTTTTTATGAATTTCTAACTCAAAATAATTTCCAAATTTTCGTAATTTTTACTTATTTTGTCAATATTTGAACTTTAAATGTTTATAAAAAAAAAAACTGTGACTATAGATTTTTAATTTTTTTTCATCTGCCTTTGAAATAATATACTAGGAGCCTTCTATTAAATTTTCAAGCTTTTGTACCCATCAAATAAAAATTTATTGATATTTGTAGAAAAAAAAAACTTAAAAAAATGGAAACTGAAAATGTCCGTAAATAAGTCAAAATATTTGGAAAATTTGATGTACCTACGATTATTTGTTTCAGAATTGCACCAAAAACCAATTTTCTCGAAAACAGATTTTGCTTAAAAATGCCCACTTTTCTATAATTTTTCTTTTGTTGTTCACTGCGCTTTTGAAAACTACTGGGAGATTTTCACTTTTGACACCCCAAAGTACCAACTAGATTCACATTCCTATCAGAAAAGATACTGTTGAAGAAAATATAAGCTGTTTTACTGTCCTAAAAGGTGATGACAGACAAAAAAAAAAAATGAAAAAACACACATCATTGTGAAATCAATACATTCATCGTTCCACTCAGAATCTAAAAATGTATAGCATTCAAAATAGATTTAAGAAATTGCTATCATAATATTATGATTGTAAAGATTTAATTCGAAAAAAGAATAGTTCATGGTTAGTAAAGAATATATAAGTGACCTTAAATGAAAAGTAGTTATTTTTAAATATTTTGAAAATATTACTTTTATATAAGTAGATGGGTATGTTAACAACAATGACGATATTATTTTTAGTTATTATTGAATGCTAATATTTATATTAGTTTTTGTTGAATGTACAAGTAATTATAAACTATAATCAATATACCTACAGTGACCTACCCTTATCTGTCTGTAAACAAATACAATTGAACAAATATGTGTGAAGCGTATTTTTATTGGTTACTCAAAAGTCAACAAAATAAAATTTAACATCACACCTTACTCATTTTTTCTACTTGGAAAACTAACAATAAACATAAACGAAAAACCTATATTCAATTGCTTTTTTAGTAAATGGGCAAAAAATAGTAGTTTGCCAGTTTCCAATAATATTTTTTATTGATTTTACTACCTCTTCGTTTTCTTCATCGACTTCTTGCTGAACGGGGTAAGTGGTTTTTAGCTGTTGAGTGTCACTACTCGACCCAGGCGAATAGTAGTACTCTCCAACACCCCCACCATCCCATTGACTATCTTCCTCCTTTTGGTCCGCATAACTATAACTACACACACAAAAGTTTTATCATAAGTTCTACTTAAGTTGACTAGTAATATTTGACAGTTGTTTAACCTATTATCATAGTTGTAAATTTCTTCGTTGGGTCCATCATTGTAATATTTTTCTGGTCCATATGGAATCACTTGTTCGCAATTTCTATAAAATAAATATTATAATTAAAAATAAATTAACTGTATTTATTGTATAGATGTACAAACCTATCGTATAGCATACAGTGTGATCACGTTTTTAGGTACCACTGAATATCTCAGATGGGTGACTTTGTATTGAAATGGGGTTTTCGGGAGGTAATAGCTAGCACTTAAATACATATTTTCAGATCAGTTTCAAATTTTTAGCTCGCTTGATACGCGCGTGTCTCAGCACGACTAACTTTTATTTTAATTAGCAACCCGAGTTTTTTTCTGCAGATTTGAGTAAAGTATTTTTTTTAAACATTTATTGTATAAAAAGTTTTTTTCTATTTTCAAAACTGACCAAGTTAGAATAAGCCAACAATTGGATTTATACATAATTCGTGTTTAATGATATATTCATTTATAACCACTGGAAATAATAAAATAAGTGTGAAATAATTAAACATTATTTTTAGTGTATGATAACAGCAAATAATATGTACAACAGCATTAAATATTTTAAGTGAGGACCAAATCAAGGCAGCAACTTCGACTGAATTTTTGAGACGACTAGAATCATGTTTACAACATTATGGCGAAAACTTAGAACAATTCATTCGATAAATGTATTTAATACATTTTATTTTTGTATTATAATATTACTATTACTATTATCGTTATAAGTTATAACTATTTTGTTGTACATTTAATTAATACAGTTGACAAAATATCATACACTAAAAATAATGTTTAATTATTTCACACTTATTTTATTATTTCCAGTGGTTATAAATTAAAATATCATTAAACACGAATTATGTATAAATCCAATTTTTGGCTTATTCTAACTTGGTCAGTTTTTAAAATAGAAAAAAACTTTTTATACAATAAATGTTTAAAAAAAAAAATACTCTACCCGAATCTGCAGAAAAAAACTGGGGTTGCTATTCAAAAAAAAGTAAGCCGTATTGCGAAATGCGCGTACGGAGTGAGCTAAAAATTTGAAACTGGTCTGAAAATATGTATTTAAGTGAACCCTATCAAATCAAATTTCAATATAAAGTTATCCATCTGAGATATTCAGTGGTTCTTACCTAATATCGTAATCACACTGTATAATATTGATATATTATGATATTATAATATCAATTCGTTATTTATAATTAAAAAATATCTTGTCCCATAAAATATATTAAATATATACATATAGATAATGAAAGTATATTGAATGTTTTGTTTAAAAAAAATTATTAATTATTCTGGATTTTAAATGGAAACAAATAATTTGAGTTGGTTCTCCAACAGAATATTTTTGAATACATAAATTTATACATATTGGACAGATGGCTTATAAATTATAACGGTTTTTAAATTGAGACTAAAATAATAGGAAGGGATATATTTATTCCTTGTAATATTTAGACTACTATTTTTCACACTTCCGATGATGCATAACAGCATTTTCAGAAAAATATTATATTTTTAATGTTTACAATTATAACTTAATAATACTATTTAAGACTTCAAGTTCGATACTTTAATAGTAAATATTAAGTCATTTTCAATTTGTGTACGTTATTAAATATGCCTAAATATTAAAAAAAAAAAAAAAACAGGAAATATTGTCGATGATAAAAGTTTGTTTTGAAAAAAAAAAAAAAAAATTATTAATAATTCTTAAAAATAATTAGTTTAATAAAATATAACTCACTGTTTATTGTCATAAGGTTCAAATTGGTCCCCATTATCATAATATTCTTCGTAGTAAGTCGGTCGGTACAAAGATGATTGTCTTTCCAAACTTGACCTCCGATCTAAAAGTATATAAAAAAAATAAAACACCTAATGTACAATAAAAATAATGAAGTTTAAACATACTTTTATTTGTCTTTCGTTGGTGGTATTTAGAAATATGCTTTTTACAAGAATGTCTGGAAGAAGTGGGAAATTGTTCTTGGTCGAGGAATGTTGTTGAAGACCCTTCATCATACCATTCACTGGTTCCTATTTTATAGTCATTTTTTCGCCTGCACATCATTGTTGTTCATTATCAATAAAATATTAAACATTCTTAGACCATTAAATTTTATTACCTTTTGTGGTCTTTATAATTGTTTGGCCTACTATTATAATATAGATCATCCTCTGGTACCCTCCTTTCTTCATACCTTTGAGAGTCATATAAATGTTGACTACCCGCTGAGCTTTCTAAAATTATAAAAAATAGATTAATAAATAATTGTTTTTATTTTCAAATTGAACAGCTACGTACCATTTTCAAAATATATATTTGTAATATAATTCAATATTATACGTCTTTATCATTTTATATTAAAACAAAATATTTTTAAAATGTGTTTTTTTTTTTAATAATACTATTCTAATTAATAGTATATGTAAAAAGCGTTTACAAAAATTGTAACAGAACTGAAATTAATAATATTCATTATTATGATATGAGTAAGTGTGATTTAATATGATCAGATGTTTAAAAGAATAAGTTTATTTAGAAGTATAAGAGTTATAAATCAGGTCTATTATCGAGTTGAATGCAAAATAAAGTGGTAATAATATTATAAGTTTACGAACTAGATTAGCAACCTGATAAAAAATATTTGTTATGTTTATATAAAATTTAAATTCAAAGTTTTGATTTGAAATTTCACGAAGATTGGATGAATACAAGATTATTATATTTTCTCTAGAAGAAATATAAATGAAATACTTTCAAAATTTATAAAACTAGTTAAGAACTATAATAAAATTTAAATATACGACGAATAAATATGAGAAAACCGGACGTTTACTGATAACAATAATACATTTTGTTTAAACTTTAAACTAAATTATTTACTGGAATAGGTCTTTTGATAAACATTTTCTTGAAAAAACGAAAGAACGTGCGTGCACTTAAAGTTTAGAAAATAATATCGCGTTCGTAAAATATGATTAATTTTCTACATTTTACTGTAATTAATAAATATTAAATTTCTGAGTTGTCCGATTTCCTCCTAGTTAAATGTTTGATAGCCATTAATTTATTGTTAAACTTGAAAAAACATATAAACACAACAAATTTTAAAGTACTTGTATTTGGATGATCTGGACTACTGCAAGGACTCATTTCTAATTGATCGGCAAGGTTTCTAAATTGAGAGGCTGAGGAATTTGCTTGTTGCTGACATATTGGATAATTAAAATCGCTTGTATAATCACTGTCTTCCGAGTTACCTGCAGCTGAAGTAACATAATATTAAGCTGTGCATTTAATTCGGTATATACATCAAAATGGTATTATACTTACACTGCCCATAATATTGGAATTGCGCCGAAACGTCTTCGGACCTCGAATCCTGTTCGAAAGTGTTCAGGATTTCGAATTTTTTCTGGTAGTCCACGATATCACAGATTTCGTCATTGTCTACACACAATAAGGCTTGACATATTATTATATTATTATTTTTTGTATAATTTTACCCGATAACCCAAGGAATTACCCATGAGGGACAACATATTGGAAAACTTTTTAGCATTTTTTCCTTTTTACTCTCAAAACCAAAATATTAGCTGTCACAACTAATATTCATTAAATTTGGGTATCGATAAGGTTTCCAATCAAATTTGTCAAAACTTATTTACACGCGTAGAAAAAAAAGGTGGACATGGGATCTATATCCGAAATCCCTCGAGTTTGCTTCCCTAGCACGTATGATGGAGTTGACAAGAACAGGTACGACCTTATTTATCGAGGGATAAAAAAAAACTTTCCATCTTCCATCTAGGTTTATTTTACTATCAGTAGATCGCAATAATGGAGCAACTCTTTAAAAGCAAACATTTTGATGGATCGACAAATACTAAAAAAATAGTTAAGTTATCTTGGCCTATTCACTCATCCAATATTAATACGAAGACCCATTGAAAATGATACAATGTTATATACTATATAGGTACGTGTAAATCAATATTAAATTGTCCATTATACAGGTATTTAATTTTTAAAAAAAAACCTGGGGAAATTGCTCCGCTGTTTAGCAGCTAGTTTTCAAGTGTGCCTAGAATTGAGTAGGTCACTGTAATTTATGTGATAAATTTGAGTTCAATGATAAATCATTGTATACAATGAAAAACGATTCAGAGCGGAGACGGTCTGTCAGCGTATGTTTCTAACGATATTTTATTGTATTGCTATTGATAATTTATTTTTCTATTAGAAATACGGTAGGTTATTTCATACTTAATCGGTTATGATATTTGTATATTTTTTAATTATGTATAATGCAATAATATCATTAATCTATCCATGCATATAGGTACCTATAAGCATATATAGAATATTTACAAAACGTAAAAACCACTTTGTTTTTAATATTTTGTCTTAAGAAATTTGTACTTTTTCATTAAAAAAAAAAACTGCATCAAATAAATGTAAATTATTGGCAGATTTCATCGAACAATACCATGTATATTGTATATTAGATATTATGGTACTTAAACAAATACATTATATTATTATATCTCAATGTAAAAACTAAAATAATCACTTATATTTTATACAAAGTAGGTACCTAGTTTTGAAAAAAACAGACATTCGAAATTGAAGATTGTAAAGTTTAACTGTTTGGAATTTTGGCCAATATCATTTACGTACTACACGATATTATACTATATATTTTATGACATTGTACCTATTCTAGAAATGGTAGGTACCGTAACGTAACATTATTATTATAATTAGATGACGTGCTAAGGACAATAAAATAAAATCCATGAAACTAGAAGCCATTTAGAATAAGCATTTCGGTATAATATACTTTTTTTTTTTGCAAAAAGTCACGTGAACCTTTCGCGATCCCCGTTTTCACATCCCCATACAGCGTACACAGTTTACACAATGTACACAGTGTATACAGTGTATGCAGTGTATATATAAAACAATATTTACGCGTGTGCAAAGACGTACGTTGGATTAGCGATATTATTGTTATTCTGATCCAGCGACGCCTGATAATCGATATAAATGCACCACAATAGACAATTGTAGAGCACTATACAGACACAATTCTATAATATATATTATATATATATAAAGTATAATATGTGTGTGAGTGCGTGTGCGTGTGTGTGTGTCATTTTGTGTAAGCATAAAAGAAGGTATATATTATAATATGATATATGCACTGAAGATAATATTAGGTAGGTATGTAAAACAATAAGAATGAAGTAAACATATGAATGAAGTACATAATATAGTATGTGTTATGTAATATATTAGAACAATAATATTATGTATACAGTAGGTAGCATTAAAGGTAGGTACTCATAACATACTGCAGATGAGGTGTTAGTATTACTCGATAGGATTAAAATTCAAGCGACAGAGCTACAGTAATGTATATGTTTGTGTGTATTGTTCCGTGTACAATTAATAGTTAATACGGTATAATATTGGTCATTGGAGTATAGTTTTTCGATAACCAATATCAATGATGTATATACTTTAAGTGCACATCGTTCAAAAGCATTGATCGTTTCGAGGAAATGTGGGTGATTAGAGCAGGTCCAGGTTAAATAATTTCGGTCCAGATGCAAGGAGAGGTGATGTTTGGGCATACGGGGATGACAAATTATATTAAAGCAACATTTCCCCAGCAACATTTCGTAAATTAAAAATAATACCATACCGGTTGGCACAGGTATTATGCGAAATTGAACAACATGATATATTTACAATGTAGGTACTCAACGATCCAGTTCAAGGTCATTGATAGTAACACACAATAAATTAGTAACAAATAATAATAAATAAAATAAAATGTATTGAAGAAAGAGCATTGAATTGGGTACCAGAAGAATGAAAGATTCGAAAAAACAAAAGTTAACTTTTATACAAAGTCAAATGGGTGTCACCGCCATTGCCATAATCTTTATTACTATCATTGTAATATTTAAATAGTTCGCTAAATAAATAATATGTTTCTTTATAAAATAATTGAAATGTCCTCTTGTTAACCTTTACAAATGATAAAACGTAGTCGAAATAATATAAAATAAACAATTTATATTAAACTTGACGTATAATACAGATGAAAATTTTTTAATTATTTTCCCAAACTAATATAGTAATATTAAATTGTACATACAAATTGTTGTATTCAACAAAATAAAAAGTATTTATCTATATCAAAATAGTATTCATAAGTTTGGTAAGTATTTATTCTGTATAAATAAGAGAACATTTTGCTGAAAATTGTATTGAAATATCTTAAGAACATATAAATTAAATGTACATCATCTTTAATCGTTAACCATTATGATTGGCGTTTGGCAAAAATATTTCCTACATTATATTAAAGTTGTATAGTAAAATAACTTCAATGTAATTTATTGACAAATGTTTAGTATTTTTAATTACATGTCATTTGTCAATTTGTTTTTCACACCATGAACTAGATAAGTTCTATTGGCGGATAAATTTATAAATTAAAATCAAGCTTATATTGTGATAAATAAAGACGAATGGTTTTATCGATTAATTTCTTTTATATTTAATAATAACCTCGAGTACGTTTTATGCAGCATTAAAAACCTTATTTTCACTTATAAGAATTTTTAATAATATTTTTGAAACTTATTTTATAAAGAAACGAAAAAAAATCTGATAGTTGTACTTAATAAAAATCGTTTTTATTAATTTCCCGTGTAAAAATATAAAATTATTACCAAAGTAAAGGTAATAATCATAATTTAAATTTATTTGAACATTCTTGCGATGTTTGCTGATTCAGTTTATATTTTTATTCAGTAAGTTATCAATTAATTTTCATAAATAGCAAATAGCGACACACATTTGATTTCATATTTCATAAGTCAATTAGAATAAAGGTGTAGTGTTAGAGAAGAACCATGCTTTCGATAAAGCCCAGACAGACGTGCGAAACGTTTAAGTGTTCGTATATTTCATTATTATACCTCCTGATGCACTGGCGCTCGGCGGAGCCGTGTTGGAATTATCCAGCTCTCCTAAGATTTCTTTCCAACCAGTCGGTGGATCGTAAGGGCCTAAAATTTGAAAATCCATCATGATATCGCACATGATTCTACATTTATTTTTTTTTTTAAAGATTCCATGTCGTTTTTCTTGGAATAATAACTCGTAGACATCTCCCAATTAGCTATATTTTAGTACGGTTACATGGGTTCGGTTTGAAAAAAAAATAATACTTATTGTACACTTACCAAAGGGTAGTTCGAACCTAGCATCAATCAACAGGTAATGTCCTGTCGGACACCTGGTACCAGTCACTACACCGTCGCTCATTTCAAGTTCAGCATCTAGTGACACCCAATCTCCTTCGCCATCCTGTACAATAAACAAAATATTTTCAATCAATAAATGCAAAAATTGTAGTGTAATATATTATATTACCTAATTTATTGTTATATGTTATTCAATAATAATAAATACACATTATTGAAGTAAAACTTCTTTACGGAGGGTGCAACGCCCAAAAATTTATAACAAAATTATCCTCACGGCATAAAATTTAAATTGGTACCAACCAAATGTGAAGAATAATTTTATTTTTCTCAAAATTGTCATCCTATTTAATTATTGTAGGTACTTTATATATCATAATATACATCACGAATTTGAGCATAAAATCCTGTCAGTTCATGCAAATCCTAGCTACGATATTGTTCGTTTTCAGAAAACCTCAGATATCACTAAAAACTATCTACGCTCGCTCACACACACACACACACACACACACACACACACACACACACACACACACACACACACACTTTATTATGGTTGTATAAGAGATTCATATAAAATAATTTATTGAAAATATGTATTAAACTGTAAAATACATTTTCTTATTTAATATAAAACAAGAATTGTAATAAGATAATACATTTGAATTTTCAAGAGAGATGTGATATTTTTAGTCGTGTAATTGTAAATTATTATAGTTATCAACCTCTATTTTTAAACAAAGTGACACCCAACTACAACCACATCACTCCACAATTCATTTAAAAAACTTTTATTTATTTATATTATAGATATACATATAATATGTTTACCAAATTTCCAACATCGGTATTGTTGTCAACATAATAAAAAAACTATTTCTTTAATACAGTTAACCACATAAATATTAATGAATACTTATATTATATTTATGGAATTTTTCGACATCCATCATAACATTATAAAAAACCGTTTTAAAACCATATCACATAATTGTATATTATCCATCTCTTTTATAACACGTAGTACAGTTACAAATAAATGGTATAATCGCGATAAGAACTATTACTGCTGTTTGTTTTATGTTAGATAATGTTACTCATAAATCTGAAATTAAATTATATAGATATTATAGTTAATATTGAAACTTTATACTATATGAAATAACTTCAGAACAAACTATGTATTGCTTTTTTTTTTATTAAATGCACATGAGATATGACTGGTTTACATGATAAACCTATTAAAATCAAAATTGTGATTTTCTCCATAGTATATACAGCTGAAGTCTAAACATCGATGTTCGTGACAACGCTCAAATAGCATATTCATTTCACCCTAATAACCAATTTTAATGGATTAATAATCAAGTTATATAAGTGAAAATAATTAGATAACGTGTCTAACCATCAAAACAAAAGTGTTTTTGAACTGTACGAGTTAATATTATATATATAAGACGTTACCACTTGCGTTTCGAAATATTATATACCTACAACCTACCATTTTCTAAATATACAGTTTCATCTTTATTCTATTTTATTTATTTATCATATTTTTTTTCATATCCTCTAACCACAATAGAATATATCCCAGACAGTATTTTATTTAGTAAGCATTTCATTAAATATTTATAAGATACAGTGGATTCCGCCTAATGTAAGCATCCGTGTAATATGGCCAAAATGGTCTGGTTCTAATTCCAATGTACCTATACTAAATAACTAACTAACTAATTTCGGTTTATAAGGGCAACCACTTAATGTTTGCAAATGAGTTTGGTCCCAACGTGTCCACATCAAGCGGAATCCACTGTACATAATATAAAATGATAAACTTTGATCGATTTCTTTGGGTTTAGACTTTAGTGTACATATAGTACATATAGTTAAACAGTAATGACATGTAAACAACCGTTTGATTGACAATTATTTTCAAGTTGTTGGCTAACTAGATTTATATTTATATAATGATCAGTTACCTCGTTGGAGTAGCGCACTGTTGGTAAGCTGACCATGTGGTATCCTATAGCGTAGTCCAGAAGAAACCCTCTGCGCCACACTTCCACCAACAGACCCGTATTGACGTCGTTCGTCTCGCTATATACATTAAATAAATAACATTTTTTAATCAAAATATATTCTAACGTTATTCAAGGGTAGATTAATGAAAATCTTAAGGTCCCAAGTTGCAGATTTTAGAAATAATAATTTTCCTATTTTCAATAAAGCCTTCCTGAGCAAATGATAAGGTTATTGATTAGGTACGTTTAATATTTATTTATTTCATAACATGTATACACTTTTAACAAATATTTAAGTAGATTGAAATGTTTATTGATGTATAATTTAAATCATATATATATATGTAATATAAAATACGAGTAATATACTGTATGGTATATTGAATAAATAAATATTAAACTGATAGTACTACATTATAGAACATTATAATTCCTACTTACAAATGATCAATGTAACTCAATTACTCAACCATTGATTGAATTTAAACATTCTCATACTCGAATCATAATAGTGTTATGAAAGTTACTCTCTTGTATAAGCATTATTATTATCTAAAAATCTTTATCAAAAATAATGTATTTTTTGGGAATAATAAATCTTACAATAGAAAGTCTTGTTGCCAACAAGGATTTGCTCCTTTGACCGTCACGGTTGTACACTTAACATTTTGTAGTTTTAACGTGGCATATGTGCTGAATTGTGGCGCTAAAACAAACCAAATCTATATTTTTATTCGTCCAATATTATATTACTATATAAGTAATAACAATTATTATTATATTATTATGCTCATGCAACACATTCATGTAGCAAAATTGCCTATACACAACGCCGTGTTACTATTTTTATTCGTAATTTTTCAATAATTAGTTAATAAATAAGAACTAAAAAGTGATTGATAACTAAGTGTATTTTATTCTTTCAGTATTAAATTCGCATTTCGTATTTTCCGTGGACATAAGTATATGTTTAACGGTACAATATTAAAGAAAAGAAACAAACAAAATGTTTACATGAATCGTGACTGTTCAGCAAAGTTTTAAGTTAGTACGGGTAATTTGGCGAAATAATATCAAACAATATAAAGCGTGAAGTTAACAAAAAAAAAATCATAAACGGCCGTATATCTGAACCTAAATTTTCAAACTTCCAAAGCTGTCAGGTCATCAATCTCTTTGTGTCCATGAAAAAAATCCATGACGGCGTTGTAATAATAGCATAATAAAATTGTGTCGAGGTGAAAAAAATTATATTCATAGTACTCACCTTGGTCTCCAACATAACGAGCCATTTTTACTGAAAAAAATAATAACGAAAAACAATTTCAAAATGTATCTAAAACAGTTTAGAACTGTAAAGAATTTTAAGTGGAATGCATTTTCTCTAGGATAACAAAACGGCGTATCACCGATCAAGACTAACGAGATTTTGTAATTTTAATTTATACGTGGGCTGAATTTAAAATGATGGCCACACCATAGGATGATGGTTGAGGGATTATTGTTGCTTAGAGTGGCTAGACAAGGGTTAAGGGTTAATTGACTGAACTGAAATGAAATATGTTTGAAAAACATTCTGTACGTTACCTTTAACGTTGAGGAGGGACATTTTTGTGTCAGCTACGATGTTTTCTGATTATGAACAAGGACCTAAAATAAAAGGAAAAACAAGTTTGTATTTATTTGTTATTTATTTATATATATACATTAAACATGTATTTTCGTGTACTGCTATTACATATATACAAATTAAAAATACAAAAAAAATACGAAGAAATGTGTTGGATTCTTAAAAACCATTAAAACTTTAAAGCATTTGAAAGTAGTTGGACAGAATTAAAAGTAAAACCTAACTTAACTTTGAACCTTTGGAGATTTGTTGGCTTCAAATAAGAACTTCTTTACGTTTTTTCCAAGTGTGTGTTAAAAGATTAATTTTTCATACATAATGTAAACAAAATTAATTATCTATGTTCCCAAAACCTTTAATTTTGACAGCTTGTATATAAGCAGTAAATGAGTTTCCCTTTCTAAATTACCATAGAAAACATATTATGTGTAATGCTGAGTATTCTAGTCTTTCTAATTTAATAATCCATTACCGGTCCAAACATAATATGACATATTTCATTAAATGCAGACCATATTTTATAATTATAAATTACGTGTGGTAGACAAAAAATGTAGACTTGGCAACGCACATCAAAATTCATAAATTATTAATTATAATTTGCAACATATTTATTTATTTTGTTAACTAATATGACTAATATGAGTTTTAAATAGTATATACTATATACATTTTAAAATGTGTTTAAGTCAAATATTGATACGGTACAAACCACAACACATAAAACGGCCGTTTTCACGGCCACCAAATACTACACTATGGCAAAGTAAAGTAATTTCAACAATAACAAAAATTACAAAAATGCCGAGTGAAAATGACATCGATGATACCGAACAGTCCATAAGATCGATGTCACATTCATCCGTCAAACCAAAGACAACCACCAATGAAGATAGCGCTCGGAACGGTCAACGCGTATATATACGGGTACATTTTACCGACCGAGCAACAGTACTCTTTCAACCTTCAAAACATCAAGACTTCAGAAACCAACACACTCTGCCGTCTATTGAAGGATAAGAGGAGAACGACTGACACCGAGAGGAACGCCGCGACCGTCACAACCGGACACCGCCAGTGAAGACTGCCCCAAGCTCGACCGGTTCAGTCCAGACCATCGGACGACGACAGCCGCCGACAACGCCGACGGATCAAGACAGTGGAGCGGGGCTGACCCGATACGAAGCAGCGATACGAACTCTTGGCTACCAACCATCGTCCAAGGAGCCGACGACTATCCTTGACGTCTACCAACCAACCCGGAGTGCGTCAAAGAACCACGCATCAGCCCGTATACTCGGTGGAAATTTAAACGGTCCTTTTCAGGGCCACCCACGACGCACAGTCAGTCCCCCCAAGCGCGCCTGCCTAGGCCACGCTTTCCGCCCGGGCCTAGTGATCAACGCCACTTTTTCGAGCGGGCTGATCATAGCCACCCGGGCCGTCCCGATAATGTGTAATAAAAACATACTATACCCGGTTGTGTAAGACTACCTCGTACCCGTATCAGATAGTCACGGGAACGTGAGTAGTCAAAACCCTCTTATTTGTAACCATATGTTCATGTAAAATAAATTGAGTAATTACAGAAAAGCCCACTTGTATAAATTATTAAAGTGACGGAGCATCGGCCTCGGTAGCTCCGTTACAATATTACTAATTATATTATTATAGAAATAACAACAAAACACTTATGGAATTTTTATAAATGGCATAATTAAATTGATATTATCAGTTTTTCACTCAGTCAAATTTAATACCGGTAGACTAGTAATACATATAATAGGGTTATAATAGCATATTAGCATGGTTATGTGAACCATTTAAAAGTATAAATTTACTCAATCTATTTTTTCAATCAAGTAGTCAAGTATAATATCGAGTATATTAATATAAAATGTTATTACAAAACATAGTAGGTATACTATCATTTATCAATATTTTTATCGAAGTTTTGGTTTTACATAAATATCTTAACGTCATTCCAATGGTAGATTATAAATAGCCAACTGCTATTATATTCAAATGACTGAGCGTTGAAAATCTCAAAGCTATCTCATTTGAAGGGTTTAGACCATAAAGATTCGAATGGAATGGTGTTCGATTTTCAGTGTAACAACAACAACAAAAAACGGTTTTTCATTCGAACCCGTACAAATGTGAAGTAATATTTTATAATATGATTCCCTCTTTTGACCTAAAATATTAGTACACGTTATGTTAAGATGTTTAATCCACGGGTCACAATATGAATATAAATACAATACAAGATAGTTAGGTACTTGGTTATTAAAGTTAACGAAGGGATATGACGGTACATGCTAATTTTAATAATAACACTAAATCATGTGCATAATTTTTATAAAATTATGGTTACATAATATTTATAATAAATTCCACGAAACTCTAGAAAAATGACTGAAGATTATTATATTTCATAGTAAAAATAAATTATATAATAATTAGATATTACCTAGTTATAGAATCATGTACATAATCTGCATACTACTTGGATGCATTATTAATGGGACTAGGCCGACGGTCAAACTATAGTAATTTGAATATTTTTTAGACGATTATATTAATAATATTAATAATATTAAATATGAAATAAATGTAATTATATTTTTAATTTTTTTATATTAAATCGAATATTTTTTATGCGGTTATATGAATAATATTAAATATGAATAATAAATTGTAATTTAGTAATACATTTTTTATTTTTAAACATTAATAGTTAATACATATAATTTAGATACCCTGTCGGTCTACTGGTTGTCGTCTCAACGTCGTGATGCCATTATTCATCAAGTAAATAATATAATTTAAGAAGTAAATATTAACTAATTAAAATAACTATTAAGTAATACCGACCAAATAACAATCATGCCCCGTAGTTATAATTACTATTATACCATAACTCATAATAATATACACGTTTAAACCATCTGATTAAGAACGACATCGTTAATTAAATTTTCAATACCTAGCTTACAGATATTATTTTTTATCGTATGGATACACGGACTCGTGTAAATGGCAATTGTATGAAAACTCGCTCAAACTCGTTACGTTTAAATAAACAAAACGTGTACCTACGTATTTATTTATCACACAGCACCAGATAACTATAAAATATGCAATTGTTTTTAATACGATGTGGATATAATGACGTAATCTGCGAATCATGCTTACTCCTATAATACAGGTACGTTCAATTCTCGATAAAATATTGTTTTTGTCTTGTGAACAATGTAATATTATATATTATAATAATATTTGATTGTCGTTGCTGTTTCGTAGTTGTTAATTATAATTAACGGATTCAGTAAACTTCCATCATTATTATATTTTATTTTCGCAATTATTATCATTCCCGTTGTACTACATCGCGGTATACACTTATTGTGCAACGTACAAAATGAGCTGCTTCGTCGGGTATACCACGTGAGACGCGAGTATACCGCGAGTATACCGCGAATATACCGCGAATATACCGTGAATATACCGCGGCTGCACCTCAACTGTACGGTCTGGGAAATTGCTAGGGGGGCGGGTCGGTTGCGTGGGTGGAGAATGGACGAATATATATTATAGTTTCAAAACCAAACCTACGTAGAACACGCGGGTGGAGCGGTGACGTGGGCCGCTCAGTGTTCTAATTTTAATGCGAATAGTCGTTGGGGGTAGGTACATAATAATATTACACACAGACGTCGTCGTCGTCGTCGTCGTTTTGCGTTTGCGGCCCGATCCGGATGATAAGAGAGCACCCCCTCCCCCCTGCCGCCGCACCGCAGGCCAGCCGGCCGGCCGCGTTTGACTGCCGTTGATAAGTACAGTATAAATAAAACACGTGCGATTACCGTGTCATATACTCGTACACGCACACCCACACCCACACGCGCGCGCACACACAACCCTTAACGTGAACACCACACCGCTGTGTGTTATAATGACGATGATAATAATAATAAAAACACGCGTGAACTTTGCGGGCTTTAAGTCTCGATCGCGTAAACGATTTTTGCGCGTCACGCGAAAATTAAGATATTTTCGGTGTGGCGAGGGTCAGAAACGCGTCGAATGCGAAATCGGTATTACATATTATATATATTGTATAATAGGTGTACACCATGAAGGTTTATAATATATTATGGGTGTGCGTGTGCGCATGCGCGCTTGTGTGTAGCTGCAGGCGGGTTGGTATATATACTTCCTTGTACCTTTCCGTGTGTGTGTGTATATATATATAAACACACAGAGGAAAAAGGTCTAGAAAAAAATGAATAAATGAGTGAACGAAATCGTACGTACCCGTTTATTATATTACTTATATATTATTTTATAAGCGGGTGCGGTAGGAGTGTATATACCTCCCTCACAACGGTCTCGCGCGACAGCGACTAAAATAGAAATGAAAATCAACGGCCGATGACACGCGACCGCTCGCGGTAACCGGTCACGGACGGACGGACCATACACGTCGTCATGAGTCATGACACGCCATGTCCCACACACACACCGATATTGTACAAGTATATAATAATGTTATATTCCTATGTCGTACTCGATATTATGTACGCGTCGTGTACCTATATTTAAATATATGCTCCGAGTCATACGCGCGAGTATGATATTATTATTGTCGTTGTTGTAACACACTCGCACATGACATAATATAATACAATACTGTAATATCGTACGCGACCAATATAATAATATGTGAAACCGTCGTTGTACATATGTGTTTTAATAATAATATGACACTATATTATATATACCTCCGTCGGATATTATAATAATAATGTGTGCACGCGGCCGACCGTCGTGTGTGCGCGCGTAAACGCGAATCGATCGTTTTGCGGCCGGCGCGCGGTGGCACATACGCCATATAATAATAATAATATGATAACGTACACCTAAACGTCGTCGCGTATATTATATCGACGCGAGTACCTTCTGTACGCGCATTGCTGTAAGTCGTGCATATTAGGGTATTGTACTGCATGTACTGTATCGTTTATAACAACAACAACAACAATAGTACTTGTACAATGTAACACGCACTAATACACGACGCACGCCTATATTACCTGTATACATACCTACCTATCGCAACGACGTATATACATAATGTATATGTGTAGCTTAGGTATATCATAATATATAATTACATATTATATCAGTGGCGTCCGCAGGATTTTTCAATGGGGGGGGGGGGCTTGAAAATTAGTTACAAATTTATTTTTATTTTGTCCAGTCTAATAATTTCAGACGTTTATTTGAGGTATTTTAAAATGTTTGTAACTTTTCAACTTTTCTTGTAGAAAATATGCTCTTATCATAAGCTTCGATACCCAGTATATGTTTTTGGAAGCAAATTGGATCTAGTTGGTACTTTTAGGAGGTCGAAATTGAATCTGCTCCGTGCTTTTAAAAGTACCTAATTGGAACTTATTTAAATTGTTTGGTAACAGTAGCTTGGTTACAGTGACGTATTTATGGGGGGGATATGGGGGATAGATCCCCTCTCTTACCCATTTTTTTCCATGTATAAAGTACAAACTGCTGCAGTACTGTTGTTATTTATAATTTTGTTATTCTGTGGGCATGTGAGTGACATTACACAACATTTATTATTTTTATATACCTTACATGGAGTAACTAACAAAAAGTTGCAACAGCACTAAACAAATTTTGATATCCCCCTCCTCAAGAAAATCCTACATACGCCCCTGCTTGGTTATACCGTCCTCACTTGGATTGCATTTGATTAATTAAAATTTTTTTTTTATAAATGTCAATAAAAAATTATTTATCCAGTCAAAAAGCTTAGAAATGTAATACGTAAGTTTTTTTATTATAGCTAAAATACTAACGATACATATGCATTTAATTTCAAAACAATTTAACCACAGTTAATTTGTAGTTCAAAACTTATAAAATATAAAATATGTACAGGTAAGGCTAGACAATTTAATACAAGGTCTTTCGTACAAGTAGTTCATTCTTTT